ATAATACGGTTGAGCATAATAATGTTCCTTTATTAGTAATTATATATATAAATATTTCTATTTATTTATATTCGTTATTTCCACAGAAAGTTTTTTATTTCTTACAGACTTTATTCCCATATTCATACAGAAAGTAAACTCATCGTGAAGATTGTTTTTAACACAGATCCTCGCCCTAAGCAAATCATATACATAAAAATATTGAATATATTTCGATATAAATAATCCATTTATGGCTAACATATTTCATAACACTTTCATAATACCCTCTGCAGAAGATTATGTATAGACATACATATATCTATATGTTTGTATAATGTATATTAATGAAAAGCAAACGTGAAAAGATGCGACAAAATGAGACGCATAAATTCTCATATGAGCCAGGCGAAATATTTCGCCTTAAATTAGCCTCAATTAAATGTTAATGCGTTTTGACATTTCGGCTGTCGCTCGCCGCCTCCTTTCGCTTGGTAGGATTAAGTGTACAAATATAAATATACTTATGAATAAGATGGAGGCCTCTCTATCTCCGGCAACGCGTCGCAAGTTTGTCATATTCACATTCACATTCACATTCTCGAGTCGGCTCGCATTCATGAAAAATGAATTATGATTCGAGTGAGTATCTCTTGGATGCGCTCTGCGCCGTATCTCATCTCGACTGTGCATGTCTCTCGCTCAGATGCGAAGAGCAATTAGCGCTGATGTAGTCCCAGCAGCTGCATCTTCATTTATCATACGGCTGCCGCTGCTGCTGCTGCTGCTGCCACCTGCTTCTCTTTATATTTTATGGCCGACATTCGGCTGGCAAATATGTGTGGAAATGATTTGAATGGCTTGAATCAACACTCGCTATTGTTGCCAGCGATCTGCCTCGTTAAGAGACTCTGGCAAAGCTAAATACATACATATATGCATATGTACATACATACATATGTGAATGCCCAAGYGGAAGCTCTATCTGTTTTAGGACTTGTGCTCGGAAATCAGTTTTTGCATAACAAGATTTAATAGACTTTTAGCATTATTTTCATTTTAGCTCTTGCTGATCATTTATTTTGCATATACATATATATATATATAACAATGTAAATAAATACAACCTGTATTTGATCTACTTTTCATAATTTACATATTACAAAACATCCCATATTAGCTAGCTAAATTGCAGTTATTATTTACTACATTTGCTACATTTCTCTAGCTTCGTTTTTCTTCTTATGCATATACATATAGAGTATGTACATATTTCGGCCAATTAGAATTCTTCATGATTACGTATTTAATAATATTTTGTCTAATTACAGTGTCTGCTGCTCATTTTTCTAGAAGTTTCTCGAGCTTGCTTTTTAGTGTTCGCTAATACCAAATCACAGTAATTATGCAACACTAACTAATTATCGATAGCTTTAAGTCGCCTGCTATCGTGGCAGGCTGTGGGTATAAAAGGAGCCCACAGCGGAGCTAGAATTCAGTCGTCGCAGGGACCTCTCCTTGAGTAGAGGTCGTGAGACAATATTGAGCTTTTTTTACCTGCGCGGCTCAAACTTTTTTTTTTTTAAATCGGCCAATTGGCCGCTGTCAGAGGTGATGCCAAGATGCTTGGATCACTTCCAGAACGCTCTATGAGTGCTCTGGCTTCCTGATGAATATTGCTAACTCAACTATGGAGTTTT